GACCACTGTAGCAAAAGTGATCACATTCGAGTGCCCCACAGTTCACTTCGGTGCCCCATAGAATTGCAAAAATAACTTTGCAGATTGCAAACATGTATTTTTAGCAAAATCATAAATCGTCGTTTGTCTCAGCTTGGCTCTCCTTTGGAAATCAACAGACGCGCTTTTTAAATCAATTGTACACGCCAATAATCGACCCGAAAACCGAGCATTAGCCAAGGTACACAGCTTCCATTGATTCAATAAGTTCTGCGCCTCTCTGATTGAGATAACTTCCGGGGCATTCACTGCCTCGCATTCATCTTCTTCTTCACGATGCTTAGTTTGATTCGAAACGAATTGATCTATTGACTAAAAAAGAGACTTGATACAAAAATTTTAATGAGCCACTTCTTCATCATCAAATTCCAAACAGGCAATTTTTTCTTCAAAATGACGATCATCAGTAGACACATAATGAGTAAAGTCCTCGATCAAATCGCACTTATCCTCTGGTGGCTGCATCACCGGTTGAATCAATATGGATTTGAATTCTGCTTTCATGAAAGCCTTGATCAGTACGTGCGAGTGCACAGACACCCAAGCTTTCTTGACCAGATGCATGGCCATGATAATGTCCATCTCGGCTTTCATGATACGTTGCTCATCTTCGATCAAAGACAAAACATATTCCAGTAAATGTTTCCGAAACGAACATTTGAAAGACCAAATTACGCTCTGATCNGTTCAAAAAGACGGTCACCAACAGACACAATTAGAACCGTCCTCAATCAAGTCACATTTATCCTCTGGTGGCTGCATCACTGGATAAATTAATGTGGATGTAAACCCAGCTTTCATGAAAGCATTGATCAATACGTACGGGTACACAGACACCCAGATGCATGGTCACGAGATCGTTCACCTCGGCTTTCATGATAAGTTACTCATCTTCCATCAAAGACAACATATTCCGGTAAATGTTTCCGAAACGAACATTTGAAAGACCAAATCACGCCCTGATCCATTGGTTGTAACATTGACGAACAGTTCGGAAGCAGCTGCACCAATTTGACTTTTGAGGATACTGCGGCTTGGTTATGGCAAGGGGCGTAGTTCATAAATAGTTAAGTAGAGCGCCTTTGAGAAACCATTTTGCGGTTGACACCGGACAGCCAAATGTGAAATAACGTAGAAGTTATCCATGCGTTCCTAGAAGAATTATAACCGCATGAAAGGCTTTCTATCTATACCTCGGAGGCATCGTGGAGTTTGAAACTTTTCAATCACCAATGGTGATGACTTTTTTCCAGTCATGCTCCCACAAAGCAATAACGTCCCTCTTTGCATTTCTTGGACCCAGAAACGGTCTTTCCTTTCAGAATTAATGTTCTTCCTGCCTGCAATACAAAGGTGTTTCACCTACATTGAAAATATCACAGTCAGCATATTCTTGTATCAACTGCGGTAACCCCGCTCGGAACTCATCCACTGCACCAAGTGGTACCTGCTAAACTTTCCCCTTAAACCTATAAAGTAATGCACATGAGTTGCTTGTTTCTTACTTTGTACGATAGAGTATCACATCTGTCTGACCAAGAGCGAAACCAACCTTTGGAAGCCTTGAAGTCTATATAATGCAATCTTTGTGCTAGCTGGATTGCCTTCTTACGTACAATGCCCTCCACCATTAGGAACTCTCTGTGCTTTTCCCTCATAGCGGTAAACCAAGCCGGGGATGCCTCACTCACTGCCTTGAACTTTTCGTTGGTTTTCAAGTGGCGTATTCCCTCAGATGCCCCAGTGTTCAAAAAAATCCCCGATAGTCGTTAGATGGGATACAACATTCAGTCTTCAGTCTTCAGGATTGAGGGCAGAGGGCAGGGTGCCCGTGTAAGCCTCATCACCACTGGGTCGAAGGTCCGATCACAAGCGTTCGTTTCTCCATAGCCCCTTCAGATGCTCATCCAGACGCCGTTTGAAAGAAGCGTCTGCCTCCTCTTCGACCGCAATCGCTGAAAGGGAATTCCAGAGTGTTGTTGACCTACGCGAGAGTCGGCAGACTAACGAAAGACCAACTGACTGAAGTTTCCGCAACGTGAGAGAGTGCCCCCGCGTGCGGTCCTCTGTCCGTGAAGGGAGGCACTGTTGCAACTCCGGGCCCACATCACCTCTCAGGATTTACCTCAGGCAGATGAGATCTCCCCTGAGGCGTCGATATACAATTGGGAACAGACCAGTACCCTGTAGACGACCTTCATAGCTGGTCCCGTGTAGTCCAACAACGAGTCTAGTGGCAGCACGTCGAGCACGCTCCAAATTAGCCAGTCCACCGGCCGTGCAGGGGTATGTCACCGCACCACCGAACTAAAGTCTTGGTCTGACATGGGAAACGTACAACAGCCTGAAAGCGTCCATCGTTAGTTGGTTGAAAGTCCCGAACATCGGTCAACGATCGCGTGAGTACATATCAGGAACTGTGAAATATTGCGGGGGTTCATCATCATGATCATCATCGTACAGCGAAATACAGTGAAACGAACTTCACTGACCGCTGCCAAACTCACAGTGCATACAAGGTT